TTGTGTGGTCTCGTTTCGATGAGTTCTGATTAAGTTGCGAAGTTTTTCATGCAGGATGTTTCGGACAACAAGAACAGGTAAGGCTTGAGAGTTGAGGTGTTATTCTAGTAGACCTCTATATCATGATGCTTCGTATCTTCCTCTTTGTGTCAATCAGTCGCTCAAGCAGAACAACTCACGAACCACACGTACAAGTCATCACCCACTACGAGAACATGAAGAGACTAGGAGTAAAGAAAGGTACTCGTTGCCGATCTCGGCTGTCGATATTGAATGTAAAGATACTAAACACATTCTTGCCACTAACGCCGCTCGCTGACCATCCCTTGGGCCAAACCCCAACCATTTCTATCCGGTACGCCTGCTTGGAAAAATGTCCGAAACAAACCGATCCTACTCCATCATCTCTCGGAACCGCGAGTCTCTCGTCGGGCTGCTGCTCTTGTGCTTGCTAGGGTCTTTGAGAGTGGGCGGCGGCGAAATGGGCCCTTCAAGATCGTCTCTAGCCTCCACAAACCGCTCCGACTCATCATCGCTAGTGATCGGACTGACATCGTCGTGGCCCATGGGTGATCGGGGACTCTCTCCTACCGACTTGCTGCCGCTCTTGCCAGCGATGGCGACCTCGCGCATACTAGCTGATCTCCCATCGAGACTGGTTGCGCTCTCGTTGGCAAGGCGTGTGAGTGCGACCCCTCCGATAAAACCCCTCTCCTCGGGAGGGTTCTCCCCGGCGGCTGAGCGTCCCCGTGGGCGCGAGAAGCGGGACTTGAGCCACTCCTTCATCTTATGCGTCGGGGAGCCACTCTCGCTCGGCGAGCGAGCAGTGTCACTCCCGCTGGGAACATCTTTCTGGGTGTTGATGGTTGGTTTCGTATGGCTTGCCCTGCTGGACTTCGGCCGCGCATCTGCGTCGCTTGTTTCGTACTGCTGGGAGATTTCTCCGGCTTCAACAAAGTCCTCGGTAGGAACCTCGGGCTGCTTCGACCTGCGCTTCTCGCTGCTGGACAGGCGCTTCTCTTCCGCTCTGGCGGCCTTTTCCTCTTCCTTCTTGGCCTTGGAATCCATCTTCTCGCGGTGCCGCCTCTCTTTTTCCTCTTGCTTATCTGATTCTGTAGGCTTGTTAGTATTGTTCGCGCTTTTTGGGACGATCATGCTCCATACCCCTGATCTTGCGATTGATCTCTTTGATTTCTCGATCGCGTTCCTTCCTCTTCTCTTCGTCCCTCTTCTTGGCTTCGGCCTCCGCCTTGGCGATTTCTTGCCTCTCCTTTTCGACGGCGGCCTTTTCGTTGATTTCATCAAGGACAGGCTGCACCCTCTTGGCGGCAATCTCGTCAATGAGCGCCTGGTCCATGAACATACCACCGCCAATATCGAGTTTGCCCTCGTTCTGGTTCGGGACCGAGTGTTTGGCTTGGGCGGCAAGGTGAGCCTTGAACTCCCAGTCAGTCATGGTGCTCGGTGGCACCATGCCCGTCTCCGCTGAGATCTTCTCGTCCATTCCCTGCAACCTGGCCCTGACGTTGCGCTGCGCAGCAGCCATCAAGGCCTCGCGGTCTTTGGCTCGCTTTTGCTCGTCGACCTTGGACAGGTTGGAGGAAAAGATGGACATCTGCCTTCTAATACGCTCAGATTGCTCCTTGTCCTCGTCCTTGATGTCACCGTCGCTCGAAGACCGTCGCCTCAGTTTCCCCTTCATAGTAAATCTCCTCTGAGGTTGGTTCGCGGAACTGCCGTTGCCGTAGTACTCCTGGTATTCCCGGTTACGTTGGTGTTCCTCGCTCAATTTTGACAACCGTTCCTGAGCCAGCTTATACGCTGCCTCTTGCAGGTTCACGTAGGGCCTCGGCTGATTGTCCGCAGGGCTCATGTCACCCGATTGCCGGTGAGCTTCGCGCGTCTGGTCAACCATCTTCTGTTGCTGACTGTACATCTTCTTAGCCATAGCCACGGCGGAGGCATGTAGCACGTCTGCCCTCTTTTGCTCATCAACTTCCGGACCGATGGCGGGAGAAGAGGTGAACATCTTTCGTGGCAAATTGGTGTATGGTACTGAGCCGGAAGTCTCGGTTGGTGACTTGGGCTTCGTAGGGCTGTGAGCGGCAGTGGCAGCACTGAGTGCATTGGCCGCAGCTCTAGACTCATCGGGATACGACTCCTTAGGTACAGGCGTGGATTTCGCGCGTGGCCTCGTCCGCCGTGGAGTGGGCATAGCGCTTTGAGCTGCGGAGAGAGAACCAAGACCGTCGGTCGAAGTGGCGTGAGCTGATTTACGGACTGACAGACTTTGCTTGAAAGCCTGGTTGGCGGCGCTGTTTCCCCACGAATCGTGACGTGACGGGGTAGAGGTCGTCGCAGATGCCTGCTTCCTGGCCGAGGCAGAAGCTATCAGGGCAGCCTTGGCGCCCGCGGAGCTCGAGTTAGGTTCCCATGATGGGGCCATCTTATAGTCCTTAGCTAACATGGCAGCTGTAGATGCTGAATTTGACTTTTCGGGTTTCCAAAGGTCGATAGATTTTTGGTTGGCCCAGCCCAAGGATGCTGCGGCCCCAGCGGCGGCTCCGTCGCTTTTAAGACCGGGGGACGGGTAGCTGGGCAGATCCCGCGGGTCTGCGTACTTAATCCTTCCCGAGTGGCCTGCTGGTTGGGATGGTTAGAGTGACTCTCTTCGTTTCTTGATGGGTCACATTGTCTTTCTCTCGACAATGACAAGGGCTCGTATTTTTGAGGGGCTGGGTTCTAGTAAGTACCTGTTGCCGGTAGCGAGTACCGTGCTTCCGCCATGGCTGGCTGCTGCATCGTTGTCTTGGAGCTGGCTTGCATCATCGCCAGCCCGGGTGCCGGCTTGGTGGTATCGATATACCCGCTTTTCTTGTGGATAGGTTCCTCCTCACAGTCCGGTGACGAGGGTTTGATGGATGTATAACTGCTAATTGGATATGGACAATACTACAAGGGTGACGGAATGACGGGAAAAGTGGAAAGTGATTGACGATGTTCGGGCTTACACGCGCAGGGCTGCGGGTAAGTGGACTGAGAATAAGTTGGGAAGAGGCGCAAGGTGGAAGTTATTTCTGGACGTGCTTATCCGAATTGTGTCGCAAAAAGGGTCGTACGCACCACCAAAGTGTCAGGCGTAGCTATCGTTTGGTGTATCGTAATTGGGACGACAAGAGAGTTACGTCGCAGGGGAGTGCAGTGCAGGTGCAAGTTGCAGGCCGCAAAATGGTAAATCAGGTACGAAATGCCGGAACAGGCGCAGGCGGCAGGGCGTCGTACCTAGGAGGGATAGGAGTTATATCATTCAACCTGCTCACCTCGCGCCGGGAAACAGAGAGTCAGTCATTCAGGTCAAAGGTGAAGGGTCCGGCGCGCACGATGAGGTATGTTGGGTCTGGTTGGCGCACCTCAGTCTTAGTGCTGGTCATGGTGAGCGACCACGGCTGCCGCCGTTACGTCATGTTGCGACTTGGGTGGTGGCCCATCCGCTTTGGGCCTTAGCGGTCCCCTCTGTGCTAGTCGCTTTGAGAACCCCCCAATGATCAATCCTGACACACCCCTGTCTAGCCCGTTTACCTACCTAGTAGTCAGCTCAGAATGTCTTCACCTCAAAGACTGGTGCACCTGAGTCTCCGTTGGGTACCGAGAGGAATGAATGACACCTACCAGAGCTAAACTGCGCTATCCGTCGTCGCAAACCTCCTACACGTCCACACTGTCGGCTGCCTCGCCGGCGCTTGTGGCTTCGGATCGACACAATTGCCCTTTAACCTCTGGAGACGGCCATTCCGGTGTGCCGTTTTCCTGTTGCTGCCGAGTGCTGGACCACGTTCTGGCCACTGGATTGGGCAATGGGACACGATGATCACTGGTTGGGACCTCGAGCTAGACCCAGCTCGACCGGTCTGGAGGGACTTGGGAGATGGGCCCTCCGAGCCGGACTCTGCCGCATGCTGCTTCCCTGTGTTTCTCCTGTTTCCGCGTCTTCACCGACTGCGAAAGCCGAAGAGCTCTCTGACTTTGAGTGCCTGATGAGGCGCCGGTGATGGCCAGGAGAGTCAAAGACAGTCTGGATCAAGGCTCAGGAGAAGAGGAAACCCAATGGCTCCGTATCAGAGGCATACCCTGGGCTGATAGGCTTGCTTTTTCCAGCTGCCGCACCGTACCTGATATCTTCTGAAGCTTCATGGGCGTCTTCATTCGTTGAACAGACTGGTGCACAGTCAGCCTCACCTCGGATGGTCGATGGATGGATGCATCGCATTCTGCATGCTTGAACTGCTACCAAATATAACCACTTGGGACGAAGGTCCCGACCTGTTCGTACTCAGACAGTTTGCTCGATCCGATATTCTGGAAAAGCAGACATGCGACCTGGAAGCCTATATTGTGCCAGTGCATCACCGACCGCATCTGCTTGGAACAGACGTCCAACAAGATTGCGACCGGCAAACGGCCTGATCTAGACCACCACCGCGCCATTTCACATCTCAGACCTGGGGTCCCAGCTGCCCTCCGTGACATCAAAACCTCCCCCCCCGGTTCTTAAGCTTTTCGGGGACTTGCAGGGATCTGCTGGACCCCGGTCGGTGATCCAAACCGCCTATCTGACAGCGACAAGGGCGTCAAATTGAGGTCGGACGGCCCATGAGTGGGCTTGAGGGAAAGGGAGGGCCCTGGGGTCACTCTCGCCTGGCACCATCACGTCCCGATCTTCCGGGGGCAGCAGCGCCAGGGAGCAGAAAAATCGTGGCGTCAGAGCAACGTCGCTCTTCGCATCTCAATCGGTGCCAGAGACAATTACGCTCGACACCCCCAAACCCCCCGCCGCGCCATCAAACTGCTAGTCCAGTTTCCCAGCGGTTGACTAATACCTAACCNACCCCCCGCCGCGCCATCAAACTGCTAGTCCAGTTTCCCAGCGGTTGACTAATACCTAACCACCCTCCCCTAGACTTCTGCAGCGCTGGCTGGGCAACTCAACTGCTAATTAGACCATGGACAACTGTGGCGTGACTTCGGTCCTGAACTTCCGTGACGTCGGTTCCACGGTGAACAGCTATCTTGGACGCAAGTACGTTTGACCCCTCTTCTTACTGTGCACCTTCGTTTGGCTGGTTATGAAACCGGCATTCAAACAGAGGCACACGGCACACAGGCTGACTTTGTTTCTCGTATCTGCTGCTTAGACTTATCCGGGAAGGCTTGGTGTTTCGCTCTGCGAGACCAGGTGTGTGAAAACCCTCTGACGCATTATTGCACTCTATGCACAACTCTAGATTTTAATCATCTACAGACGATGCCTCGTTGGAGGACAGGAAACGCCTGCGGGATGACCTGGGCATCAAGGCGGTGATTGACCTGCGCACCAAGTAGGTAGCGAGTGCCACACTCACACACTCACATTCACCGTCCTTCTCCCTTGGAACATGCCAGATCCCGCCCTCCGATCACCGACTAACGCCATCAAGGACCGAACACGTCAGGCAGGCCAAAAAGCGCCAGGCCGATCTCCAGATTCCCGCGCTCCTGCAGTCCAACGCTGCACTGGCTGAGCCGATCCAGATATCGGGCCTAAAGTATCACGAGATCAGAGTCACTGGCGGCAACTTTGAGCGGTTTCTGATATCGCAGGTCTCTTGGGGCGGATTCATGTAAGGGAATTTGCTTGCATTCCGGTTCCCTTTCGCTAGCTATGGCTAACTTCTAACCCCCCATTACGTAGCCGTCTCATCTTCCTGTTCATCTTCGGCTATCGCAATGAGGGTATCTCTATTCTATCCCGCGAGGTTATGCTGCCACGTGGCCTGGTAGGTCTGGGTCTCGACACCCTTGACCAATCCGGACCCGAGGTTGCCAAGGTACGTGAGCCTTCAGTAACGTTGCACACCCATCTCTAACGAGCAGCCTCAGGCCCTCAAAGTCTTCCTCGACCCTGCAGGCTCGCCCACGTTGGTGCACTGCACCCAAGGCAAGGACAGAACAGGGCTCATCGTAACTCTCGTGCTGCTGATCCTCAATGTGCCTCTCGAAGCCATTGAACATGATTATTCTTTGACGCAGGGAGCGCTCGAGTCCGAGAGGGAGGAGAGGTTGATCGAGATGAGAGAGATCGGTTTGACGGATGAGTGGTTCGACACGGCACCGGACATGATCGCCAGAATCGCTCTGCACCTCGACAGCGTCTATGGTGGAGTCGATAATTACTTGGACAAGATCGGGTTTGACCAGGATGACCGTCGGAGACTGAGGGAACGTCTGCTATGCTAGACCAAGCATCGTACTCGGCGAAGGTAATGCCAGCCATCTGTAGCTAGCAAGCAGTAGCAAGCAGTTTCACGGGCGTGCTGTTCTGTGCGCTGTACTATCGACTTGTTCATTCCTTCGTAAACCGTCCTTGCATCCAGCACCGGTACATCTTCAGTTTGCGGAGTCTGTTGACGAGCAGACGTCGGTCGACACCGATGTCATTTACGGTGAATACGGCCTTAGGGTCATCCCCCTCAGTCTTCTTCTTGCCAGACCAAATCTGCTCAAGCTCGTCCTTGTCGAAGAAGTAGACTCGGGTGCCGTCGCCACGCACGTAAAAGTTTTCGTCGAGGTAACGACCCTTCTTGAAGCGAACCTGGGCGAGATCACCTCTTCCATAGTCTCGGAAGCAGACCTGGCCTCCTGGCTTAAGGAGTCGGTAAATGTTGGAAAGGGCCTTGTCCCACTGATTGGGAGCCAAGGCAGAGAAGATGAAAATGAGAATAGCAATGTCGACGGATCCCTCCTCCAACCCGGGCGGGAGTTCGTCGCTGGTCACGTCCCAGACGTCGGCCTGTACGATGCCTTGGCTGTACGCCTCCTGGCTTCGCATGACCTCTACGGCCGTCTTTGAGTAATCACAGGCATAGATCTTCAGGTTAGGATTCTTGTTGAACTCCGCGATGGGGAAGGCGGTGTTGCCGGCACCTGCGCCTATTTCAAGGATCACTGTCTTGCCGGCATCCTCCTTCGTCACTTCTGTCAAGATAGGAAATTCTTGCTGCAGCCACTTCCTGTTCTTGAAAAAGTTTGCTGTGTTGTTCTTGTAAAAGGCATCCCACATTTTGGCGGGGTTGGCGTTGAATCTGTCTGAAATTTTCTTGTCAGCCAGCCGCACAGAAAGAAGTAGGCATAAAAAAGAAGTAATTTTGTAAAGGTGCGATCAGATGGGAGCGAAAGACTATAACAGAAGTTCTCATCACAAAGATTCAGCTGAACTATGCGAAAAAAATCTGAATCATCATAACACCTGTGTTGTTTTGTTTTTGGAAAAAGCAGACGCAACTGGGTAAAACTTACTCTTGTCAAAATCAGAGACCGGGGACTGACGCTGCATCTCGTATTGCTGCTCGGCATACTCCTTGTACGCATCGTCAGTCTCGACGTGGTCCCATGCGTTGAATTCGAAGGCGTCATCGCCCTCTGCCAGGAAGCGACTGCCGAACTGAAACGGGTCGCTTCTCTTCTGGTTAAAATCGGGGTCGCGCGATCTCTGGGTAGTGACAGGACGTTCCTCCTGGCCGTTGGGCTGGGACACCTGGAGATCGGCCGTCTTCTCAACGAGGCCTAGCTCGTCCACTCCATTGGGAGTCTGAACGGCCTCGGGAGATGCCATTGCAGTTGTGACTGATCACAGGGGCCGAAGGTCCCACGCTCACAAGCTAATGCGCGCGTGCACACAATCTTCAAAGATCTCCAGGTTTTGGGTGGCACAGGAGGAAGTGAGTGGGAGTAAAAATACTTGGTGGTTTTTGCGCGCTGGTGAAGTTTTTGTTCGCGACGGCGGTGGGGCCAACGTCGGCACGACGAAGGGCCGGCCACCGAGCAAGGTAAACCAATGGAAAGAGCGCAATCGACCCACCTACCAAGTAACCCTGCAAGGTTGAAGTGCGGGAGCTCAGTTAGGTTGGTCGGCGTCGCGTATGTAGCTGGAGGTAAGTACCCAGGATCGTTGACCTACAAACGACGTTCCTCCAACGACCGACGACAGCAACGAGAACCTGCACCTCGGAAGCCGACGCAGACCTGTCTCCTCCGATATCGCGCGACTCGAGCGAATACTCTCAGCGGTTTCTGCGAATCCTGCTGTCACTCTAACATGGCTCCATCTCTCGTGCGCCCCCAGGGCCACCTGTCCCCGGCTGAGGCTCTGGAGCTCGCTCAGAAGGCCCCAATGATTCTTCGAAATAACCCAAAGGCGTTTTCTTCATCGCCCCTGGTCTCACTGTTCTCGGCATCCGAGACCCCGGAAATATGGATCATTTACGAAAATCTCCTGTTGGCCTGCCTTCGCACAGGCGACGGCCAAGCGGCACACCACTGCCTGGAGAGGCTGGTCATCAGATTCGGAGACGACAACGAGCGCATAATGGCATTCAAGGGCCTCGTGAAGGAGGCGGAGGCCGACAACGACGGAGAACTGGTCCAAGTGCTCAAGGAGTACGAGACGATCCTGGGACAGAATGCCACAAACATTGTTAGTTGACGAAGCCAATGTGATATACGAATACCTGCTGACTCTCGACAGCCGGTCGCCAAACGTCGTGTGGCGCTGCTCAAGTCAACAGGAAAGATCTCAGAAGCTATCAGCGCATTGAACTCGCTTCTCGACTTCTCGCCTACAGACGCGGAGGCCTGGGCGGAACTCGCAGACCTGTACCTCTCCCAGGGACTCTACGCACAAGCTATTTTCGCGCTTGAGGAGGTATTGGTGCTGACTCCAAATGCATGGAATGTGAGTTATGCTACCACGCTTAACTTGGCGTTTTGTGTTGCTAACTGATGTCAGATACATGCCCGCATGGGAGAGGTGTTGTACATGGCTGCTTCAGCCTCGGACGGCTCTTCGCAGCAGCAACTAGCCGAATCTGTCAAGAGGTTCGCCCGCAGTATCGAACTATGTGACGACTACCTGCGGGGTTACTATGGCTTGAAACTGGTAAGTGAGCCCACCAAGTGATCACCAACCGCAACTAACAGACCACCAGGCGACAAACAAACTTCTAAAGGAGCCCTCGAAGCCTTCGAGGCAAATAGATGTTGATGATCGGGCTGTCCCCGACACTAACACAGTGCAAAAGCTCAATGAGGTGGCCACGCAGAAATTGGCCGAGATTGTGCGCCGCAACAGCGCGAAGGACAGATTATGGCAAGGTTACGACGAATCAGAAGTGGCAGCGGCGCGCGACCTGCTCTCCAAAGAGTCGGTTGAGCTCGTGAGATGAAAAACGAGCCAAGAGCGACATGCAAACAACCTCATGATACATGGTCCTGTGACGATCCGGTCACGTTAGCAGGGCAGCATGCTAGCTTGCTTTATGCATGGCATTGACGAACTTGGCCCGACATATTCTGCTCTGCTCATCGGGACTGGTGAGCAATCGGAACATTGGAAGCTGGGTCTGCATTGTATCTGCAGCGGATCACCACGTGCGACAACCATTGCCCAAGTTTCCTCGCTGCTTGCCGGCCAATGAGGGACACGTCGTTCGGTTATGGAACACGAAAATGCAATCAGCGGGCAGCATTTTCTTATTGTTTAGGCATGCAGTTAGTGTCATCGTCATGTCGAATAGAGAGCGGCTCCGGTGATTTTGGCGATTGGGCAGGAAAAGGAGCCAAACTTACAGCGGATACGTTTCACCGGAGGGGCAGACAGTGCCACCAAATACCTTCAAATGGATTTTCAGGTTATCTTCCTCTCAGCTCCATCGCTCCAGTCGCGGCCATACCCGCAGGTGTGCCCAATGAAAGACGATCGAGTTGCAATTTGTCGCAGGGCTGCATGTCATCCAAGGTTCCAGGCATGGCGTTGGGAGCCCGACAACTAATAAGGCCCACAGCGTGCGCTGGCAGTGAGTCAGTGATATGATCCACGGATGGGTCTCAGGCACCGCCATTCAAGAACGATGCCGAGTCGATCTGAGCGAGCAGAACATTCAGACCTGTCGGGCAACGACGAAGCTTCGTCAGGCGGGGTCTATTTCGGATGTTGATGATATGTCAAGACATCGATATGCCAATCAAGTTGCGCTGACGAGGTTCAGGTGTCACGTATATATCCGGGCGGTGCCATGTAAGTAAGCTGGGAACGAAGACAAGCCAGCCAGCCAGCCAGCCAGCCAGCACTTCATACGTCGATACCGGCCTCAACTCTTCCCTGCTTTCTCCGTGTTCACGAGCAACTTGGCGCTTCAAACGAGGAAGAAGTTGATAGCCAAACGTCGCTACCGTCACCCGCATTAGACCGAACCCCAACACCCAGCAAGGACAATCGCTGCTGCAAAGAAAATCTTAGGCCACGCGACGCCTCGGCTCGTTCTTGATGTCTGTGGATTTCGGCCTCCATTTCCATGATACCTTGCCTCGCACAGTACAGAGTACCTTCATACTTGACCCAACATTTGCAACATCAGTCTCGCACATGCACAACAACGCTGCCCACTTGCAAGAGCATGGCGACTTGAAAAGTCAGATTCATTGCGAATAATATCATTGTCAGTGCTATTATGTATCCACTTTTATTTTAGTGTGAAGCAGGCTGCGGATTGACTGCATAGTTTCGATGGCTAGCCAAGTCGACCAAGGGAAAACGAAGCAGCACATGTGGGGAGTCGGAGACAGTACAGCGCGAAGGCGTAGGACGGCAAGGCAGGCTCGCACACGACAAGACTAACAATTGCGTCTGCCTGGGTAAGGTACCTCTGCGGCGGAACCGGACGGCACGCACATCAGCTGCAGGCCTCACAAGCATGTACGGGTACGGCGCCCTCCCGAAGTACCGTCGTTTCTTGCGGTGTGTTAGTCCTTCCTGCGGTGTGGTCAGGTAGATGAGGAGGAGGCGAGGCGAGGCGAGATGGAACCAAACTCAACTTGGAAAGCCAGAGATTGGAATATGAGTGCTGACGGCTGCCTGTGGTGTGCAGTCCACCTGAAGCGCTCTCAGTGGCCATTCCCGCCGGCCCTTAAGAGAGGAAGACGAGTAATAAGCCGCGAGCCCGGGTTACCGGGGACTGAGGCACACAGCTAGGTGGCGCTGAAGGTAAGGTACCTTAGGAGAAGCAGCAACAACAACAGCAGCGGCGACAGCGGCAGCGGTAGGAGCGAGCAGTAGCATCGTTCCAGTTCTCGCCGCCGACGCCAACCTATCCTCGACTCTCTACTCCGGTCGAGTCGACTCGACGTTGACCCCTCCCTCCCTTCCGTGCTCCTCCCGTGCCGCCAAATAAATACTTTGCGACGTCTCATCCAGCCTGCTTAAACACACACACTTATTCCGAACCCCAAACCTTTGGTTCTTTTCTTCCTCGACATCCCACCTTTCCTGGATTGTGCCCAGCAATTGCTCCCAATCGGAAGCCGATGGGAGAAGAAAAAGGACGGGACAATCCCCGCCGAATCACCGCAGAAGCCCCACCAGCATAAACGAACGCCTGCCTTACCTTACCTACCTGAGGTCAGGTACCTTAGAGGACCGTCCCGCAACGGAGCCCAGAGCCACGTCCAGAGCACGTTCCTCACCGAAACAGCTGCAGCGAGCGAACCAAAACATCCATCGGCCGGTGCAGGTCGACCACCAGGGCCACACCACAGGGCAGACTGACACCATCGGTGCCTGTGTCGGTAACAAGAGGGTACGTACTGTCCGAGGACTGGGTACGCAGCTAGAGCTTATTTGACCCCGACCACGACCAGTCTTATCCGAACCTCGCCAGAAAGCTTCCGGCCCAGAACCCAATTCAGCAGGAGACGGGCCCCGTGCATCTGATCTCCCATCACCTTTGAGTTTCTGTCAGGTCTCAGTCGGTGTTCTGTCTCAACTTGGGATCGCACACCGCCAGGGACCAAAACAAAACACATGGGATTATAGTCAAAGTCAAGGTATGCAGAGTGCAATATTTTTTTTTTTTTTTTCCCCTCTCACTATTTTCGGGGACGCGTTTACTGCCTTGCCCACGCGAATCGAATCGGCCATCATCCCTCGCGTTGCTGCTGCTGTCCGTCAGGCACGTCCGGTGTTCTTTGCTTTCTTTTCCTGTTTTCTTCTTCTTGTTGATTTTCTGCATCTTCCCTGTCAACGAGCTGCCAAGTGCCGGCTACCTACATCTCGCATGTTCTTGACGTGCCTTACCTTAACCTACCTTACCTTGTCCGCAGGGCAACGAGCTGCCGGTGTCGCCGTGTCTGTTGTCTATTGTTGATGTTGCCATTGCCGTTGTTGCTTGACACACTGCGTAGCTGCATAGGGCAGTCAGTCTACAACGGCCTCGGTCGGTGGCCGTTTGGAGAGAGGGGCGGCGTTGGATTTCGGGCATGCCACAAGTCGTGTGTGTGCAGGCAATCTGGCGCAGCGCCGACCAGCGGGGTGGTGGTGCTGACAGTCATTCAATGACATTCCAACGTCCACTTTGCGGTCCCGTCCTCCACCAACGGCGTGGCCCAAGGTCCATCTTTCGCTGGGGTGTGTCCAAGTGGGACAACAAAGCAAGGGGGATTCGAGACCGCCGCCCAGCCTCAGATGCCCCCTCCCCCCCTCCATGTTCGCAGTTCTACCTACCTATCGTCTGCATCGTCACCCATTCCCCTCTGGCTCTGGCTCAGATCACTGGCCTCTGTTGGATTCTGCCCACCTCTCTGCCTGCTGTGCTGGCCCTGACCCTGCCCTATTTCGTACACCACGCGGCAGCTATCTGACGCTGCCTGTGGCGAGATGTTTTGTGCATTTTGTCTCGAAGCCGGCTGTGAGAAATGGCGGGGTCCATAGTGTGTGGTCTTGGTCAGGCTCCTCCCGCCTTTTGGTCGGAAGTGCTGGTCTTGCATCGTGCTTGCCCCTTCCCTTCCATTGCTGGGCCCCGTCGTCTTCCCCTCCCCCCTCCTCCTCCCCAAGCCCCCCCCTACTGCTACGGTGGCTCCTATTTTCTTTCCGCTTCTCTTCCAGGTCTCCCCATCCACTCCCCTTTGGGACTTCCATCGTGTCTGTGTGTCCGTGTCCATGTCCATCGCTCATGCCCCCATGTCAATGGCCTGTCTTCTCACGGACCTGGCGTCTCGCCAATTCCATTCCACATGATTTTTGGGCATGTCACTGATCTGAGGCTTGTAGCTTAGCATCCCCCTCCAGTCCAGCGGCACGACACTAAATACCCAACTTGTCCAAGGCCATCGTGTCGCTTGGCCTGATCTTGATATCGTCTCCCGCACTCTGCCTGCTCACCGACAACACCCGCCTGCCGGCTCCCGGATCCCAGAAGAGGGAAAAAAGAACCAACAACTGGGTCTTTTGCTCTCTCTCTTCTCCAGTGCCTGGTTCCCGCTTGGCCCTCGCCCACCCCACACTGCTTCCACTCGGCTTTCTTTCTCCTCCTCCCAATCTTCGTTTTCTCGCCTCGCCTCGCATCGCATTACAGCGCAGCGCAGTGCATCGCACATCGCATCGCCACCATTCAGGCTCCTTTTGGCTCTTCTCTTGGAGCAATCAAAAAACCAGGGCAAGCCAGCTCTCCCGAGGCAACCAGCCGCCCAGGCCTGGCCGATTCGTCTAGACTGCAGTGGCTGCGGCTTAGTTTGTGCATACAACCTTGTCTTACGCCTTGTAACGGAGCGGTCGACCGACCCGCAATAGCTGCCCAGCACACCAGCTGCCACTGTTTTCCACTCGCACCCAATCGCGCTTCTTTTTGCGCCCAACTGCACGATCTCTCGCCAAATAGCAGGGGGCTTCCCTGGTTACATCCCAAGAGCCCACGAACGAATATCCACCCACCGACTGCCGCCCACCCCTCAATTTTCGCAAACCGCCCGTCTTGCAACTCAGTCGCCCTCACAAAACAAAACTCTCTTTCCTCGCAATCCTGCTGTTGCGCACATTGGATTCCTGTCATCTGATCAGCTTTCTGCCCAAGTGTCGCCCGTCCGTCGTCCGCTTTTTTGGTTTTGTTCGTGCCAGCTATTCATCCCAACTTGGATACCCCCTCTTGTCACTGCGAACCGCGCAAGGACGAACGCTGCACGGCCTCATCCAAACTACACACCAACTTCTCTCTCTCCGGTTTCCCGTACCGGTAGCCAATACCCTCAGTAACCTCGCCGGACCTTTTCGCCCAAATCTCTCTTCAACCACGCCGCTCTCCCTTCCGAGTTTGTCGTGCGAAGAGGGTTTTCCCACCGCCCACGCACATACACACACACTTCCTTATTATGTCGTAAGTGTTTGTAATTTTCAACTAGGCCACCGGACAACCGACTCGGTGACATTCACGCAACAAACAACACTCAACTAACACACTCCGGAAGACACGGTTTAAGAGAACGTTTTGCTTCATCCCGCGGGGGAACAACATCTCATTCCGAATCCTACTCTGAAGACGACGATCGAGACAGCTTTGAATCTGGTGAACACGACGAGAGTTATTCTGACGAATACGAGGAAGACCTTAGCCCAGAAGACTCAGCTTCTGTCGGCCATCAAAGATTCCGCCCGCAACAAACTCGAGCTGCATCCCGTCACCACGAGCTCCCACAGCACCCGCAGCAGCGCGAACAACTAGCGTATCGCCCACCCGTCAATTACGTTGATCCGTATCGGCCCGGTTCAGTGCCGAATCCCCCAGAAAGCGTGGATCCCTCAGAGGAATACCACCCGGCCTATGGCCACCGCGGTGGCTACGGTGCCCGCGCACCTCCGGCCGCCCATGGCGGGCCGCAAGGTCATGTCGGCCATGCCGGTCACAATCCCTATTTCCCAAGCGGCCGGGGTCACAACGGCCACCCTCAGAGCGCCTATCAACAACATCAACATAGTCATGTAGGCTATATGGGTCAAAGCCCATACGGAGCTCCTCCCAATACCATGGTTCCTTACGGTTATGGCGGTCCCCCGGGCCACAATCCCTTCTCGCCAATGTCCAATGGAAGCGGTCAGAGCTATTTCGGAGAGCAGCCGCGCAACTCTCAATATGACATGATGCCCTACAATCAGCCACAGCCCCCTGCTTTCTACGGCCATGGACCCGGTGGACCTGGAGGCTACCAAATGCCGCCGCACATGGCCCAGTACCTATACTCCCAAGCTGCTCCACCTCCTCCACCTACGGAAGTTGGTCCGCCCAAGACTCCCGCGCCTGCCCCGCCGCCGTCACCGCCGAAGCCAGACCCAGAGAAGATCAAGTTGCAGGAACAAATTGAACTCTTCAAGGCAGAGCAGGCTCGCAAGGAGGAGGCCGAGCGCCGGCGTGAGCTTGAGGAGAAGATTCGGAAGGATGCCGAGGACGCCATCGCCCGGCGGATGGAGGAGATGAGGAAGGCCCAAGAAGACGCGCGAAAGGAAATCGAAAGGGCCAAGAAGGAGGCTGAACAAGCTGCCCGTGAGGCTATTGAGGCTGAGCGCAAAGCTGAGGAGCAAAGGCAGAAGCTGCACCAGGAAGCCATGGCCAGAGCTGAGCGTGAGGCAAGAGAAAAGTACGAGGCCGAGCTTAAGGCCCATGCCGAAGCAAAGGCCGCTGAAGCAAAGGCCCGCGCGGATGCTGAGGCAGCTGCCCAATTGAAGCTCGAGCTGGCCATCAAGGCTCAAGAGGATGCCAGAATTGCCGCCGAGAAGAAGGCTGCGGAAGATGCCGCAGCGAAGGCCAAGTATGAGGCAGAGATGAAGGCCACGGCTGAGAGAGAAGCCCGGGAGAAGATTGCGGCCGAGAAGAAGGCGGCAGAAGAAGCCGCGGCAGCCAAGGCCAAGTACGAGGCCGAAATGAAGGAGAAGGCCGAGAAGGAGGCCCGCGACAAGATCGCGGCCGAGAAGCAGGCTGCAGCGGATGCCGCCGCAGCTAAGGCCAAATACGAGGCGGATATGAAGGAGAAGGCCGAGAAGGAGGCTCGTGACAAGATTGAAGCCGAGAAGAAGGCTGCAGCGGACGCTGCCGAAGCTAAGGCCAAATACGAGGCGGATATGAAGGAGAAGGCTGAGAAGGAGGCTCGCGACAAGCTGGCGGCGGAGGCAAAGGCCGCGGCAGACGCCGAAGCTGCTGCCGCTGCGGCCAAGAAAGCCGAAGACGAGCTCAAGAAGAAGGCTGCCGAAGATGCCAAGGCCAAGTACGAGGCCGAGACCAAGAAGAAGGAAGGGAAGCTGCCGATCAAGTTCAAGGATGCCGTCGGCCGCAAGTTCAGCTTCCCATTCCACATCTGCGCCACCTGGACGGTAAGTCGAAAGCGCCCAGCGATGTTTGTAATGATATTAACAGGTTGTAGGGTATGGAAGAGCTCATCAAACAAGCTTTCCTCCACGTGGATATCATCGGGCCCCATGTCCAGGAAGGACACTACGATCTCATCGGCCCCAATGGTGAGATCATCCTTCCCCAAGTGTGGGAGAGGGTTGTCGAGCCCGACTGGACCATTGAGATGCGCATGTGGCCCATGGAAAAGGCGCAGCCAGCTCCGCCCCCGGGCATGTTCCCTCCAGGTGTGAGACCTGCACCAGGACAACACCAGAGGCCTAGGTCCATGGGGGGAGCAGGAGGTCTGCCGCCGGGTTTCCCGAGGCCCGGGGGTGGTGGCGGGGTTCCACCACCACCGCCGGGTTGGGCAGGTAACGGCCCGCCACCGCCGCCGCCTGTTGGCGCCATGCCTCCCGGCCGTGGTCCGCGTGTCATCAATGTTGGTCCGGCACCTGAGAAGAAACGTCAGTCCAAGGGAGGGCAGGGATCCATGCTCAGCTGGATGGCCGGCGCCAAACCCGCAAAGAAGAAGTAAGCAATCTCAACCCGTTCTACGACCGCCAATTATCTAACAAACGAGTAGGAGTAGCAAGAAGACCTAATGGTCTGTGTTGTGCATTGCCAAACAGTCTTTTACAACACTTACCACCAGAACTATTTCTTAAGAATTTGCGGTTGGGATCTTTCTGATTTACACATGATACCTCATCGCGCATTATTTTACTTTTCACAGATTCCCACATAGTTGATTGTATGTATGCAACGCATCTCACGGAATCATGGCTCATTTTCTTGACGTCTATAACGCATGTATGCCCGGAGTATGCGCTGCGGGGAGAGTGATTTTGAGAACGCGACCAAAGAGCCAAAGGTTGGAAAACGTTCCGCGAGGGTCGTACACAGAGAGGAGAGCCTTGCATCAGAGCTGGAGGAGACTGCGACATTTTCAGGATACGGCGCAAAACAAGTGAGGACACACCTTGCTTTTGGGTTAGAGATGACTTTTTTTGGTTGCGGTTAGATGCGTCGAATTTGATGTTACAAAAAAACACTCTAAAAAGAACGATCATAATTACGCATGAGCGTTATATCGTCTATTGCCCTCTGATTCACGTTTAATTGCCGTCTGCTTATATCCTTGGTCTACCAAGCACACTCTTGACGCGCTTCTCGAACGCTTGGATCATTACACCAGCCACCTTATCAGACACCGCAGCGCTCACAGCGGAGTACAACGGGTTCGCAAACTGGAATCTGATAACCAGGTCCACCTCCGTGCCAGTGCCCGTAGCCAGTGGCCGCAGTTGCCACATCGTCACCAAGCTCCTGAACACCGCACCGCCCTCTCCTCCATTGCCCGGGCTCGCACCTGGAACGTCTGCGCCGCTGATCGCCTCGACGCTTTTCCCGGGTACACAATGCAGCCTACTCGTGAATGTCTCCTCGAAGCCGCCCCAGCCCACGCGCAAGTCGGCCTGCGCGGGCCATTTGCGCCCGTTCTGGTCGGGGGCGGTCCATTGCGTGACACGGGACTGCGCGCAGTATGGCACGAAGGTCGAGTATGAGTCCACGTCGGAGATTACGTCGTAGAGCTGGGCGGAGGGGTATGGGAGGGTTCGGGAGGCCGTCAGGACCTGCGGCTCGGATGAGGGGAGATTCGGGAGGTTGAAGAACTGCCGCGCCGGCGTGTGGGGTCGTGCAGCGGGCATACAGCGAGTATTTCTCAACGGAGAGAAGACCCGGAGAGCTGGCCGCATGGTCGCCATCGTGTGTGGGCAGTTCCGACGTATGGAGCTGGAAAAAGGTTGGGGAGTGTGGCCGAGGTTTTGCGCAGTGGTGAAGGAGTGGGAGCTCGACTTTCAACGAGCCATGGTCTATAGTACAAGCCGAAGAAGCGAAAGTGGAGTGCCGCACGAGGAAACTGCTGTCAAGTGTTGTTCCGCCGTAGACAGTCCTCAATCAAGGTCGTCGCAAAAGCTGTTCGCGGAGCAAGTCGCAATGACGACTAGAAGCTGTCGCCGAGGAAGAAGCTAGCAGTCGGTGTTAGTGGGCTGCTGCCGCCGTACAGTGGGACTGTATTTTCACTGTACAGAGCACGGTACGAACGGCTAGCATCATTTTTGGTGGGGGTGAGCACCATGGCAGCACGGCAGCAGCTCTCCACAAGCCAAGTTCAGCCACAGCAGCCCGCATCACCGTTCCCCGACTCCGACATCCCTTAGCTTGACGACCAGCCGAAACCCATTCCTCAAGGCACTCTCCCCACGAATGTGCCAAAACTGTGCGGCCACAAAACGGGGGAAACCACTTCAAGATGCGCCATAGAACCCGGACGACCTGACCCGACTTTCGTTTTACTCCCTTCCACGACGAACCTACCCACGAAATCTCTCCCCTCTCTCGACCTAACCTACGACCAACCCGTTTAAGCCCCGTCGCGTGGGGCTGTCATCGCCAAGATGTAGGTGTTGAGAGCAAGCGGCACGACACGATTGCGCAGCACGCTGACAGCGACGGGATGTTCACAGGTTCGAGAAGTCCCTTTACGACCTCATCAGAGGCCTGCGAAACCACAAGGGCAACGAGCGCGAGTATATCCAGAACAGCTTGAAAGAATGCCGCTCCGAGGTGCGCGGGCAGGACATGGGTGAGCCAGCCCCCGGCGCCTCCAGTCCGACTGCGTATCGATGGCTAATAGTCTCCGACAGACGTCAAGGCGACGGCGCTGCTGAAGCTGGTCTACCTCGAGATGGTTGGCCATGACATGTCCTGGGCTTCGTTCCATGTCCTCGAAGTCATGTCGTCGCAAAAGTACCACCAGAAGAGGGTTGGATACCTGGCTGCTGTGCAGAGTTTCCGGTCTGACACAGAAGTGTTGATGATGGCCACGAACCTCTTGAAGAAGGTACGTCATTGCGCTGCGGGTGTATGGCGAAGGGACGGTATGCTAACGCTGCTTCTGCGCAGGACTTGACCTCGACGCAAGCGACTACAATATCCCTCCCGATCTCTACACTACCTCACATTATCAACCCGTCCCTAGCCCTCTCGACCCTCCCCGATCTGCTCCCCCGTCTGAGCCACTCAAACCCCGCCATCCGCAAGAAGACGATCGTGACGCTGTACCGTCTGGCGCTGGTGTACCCCGAAACGCTGCGCGCGGCTTGGCCCAAGATCAAGGAGCGTCTTATGGACAAGGACGAGGACCCGAGTGTGACTGCGGCTATTGTGAATGTTGTCTGCGAGCTGGGATGGAGACGGCCTCATGACTTTCTTCCTCTAGCTCCCAGGCTGTTTGAGCTGTTGGTTGATGGTGGTAATAACTGGATGGCCATCAAGCTAATCAAGCTGGTAGGTGGTGCTTTGAGTAGCACGCAAACGCGGAAAGGCTGACAAGTAATACAGTTCGCAACTTTGACGCCACTAGAGCCGAGACTCGTGCGGAAACTGCTGCCGCCTCTCACTGAGCTAATTCGGACGACGCCCGCCATGTCACTACTGTACGAGTGCATCAACGGTATTATTCAGGGTGGTATCCTGGGTAGTGAGGATGATATCTCAGGCCAGGAGGAGATTGCGACTCTTTGCGTGAACAAGCTCAGGGGCATGATCATGGTGGACGGGGACCCGAATCGTAAGTCGTGCGACTCAGCCCGTGATATGGAGCTAACCTTCAACAGTCAAATACGTTGCGTTGCTCGCGTTCAACAAAATTGTATTGACACATCCTTTTCTGGTCGCGCAACAGGAAGATGTCATCTTGGAGTGCATCGACAGCCCCGATATCACTATCCGAATCAAGGCTTTGGATCTCGTTCAGGGTATGGTCAGCAGCGACAACTTGGTGTCCATCGTAAGCCGTCTAATGAAGCAGCTCAAATCTTCTGCTCCTAAGAGAGATCGGCCGGGGGCACCTCTTGGTCCTGATACCGGAACAGATTCTGACGACGAAGCGCAAGTCGAAATCCACTCTCCTAACAAAGAGGAGGAGGAGCCTCCACTACCTGATGATTACAGGAGCGATGTGATCGGAAGGATTCTGACCATGTGTTCACAAAACAACTATAGCAGCCTGGTGGACTTTGACTGGTACATTGATGTTCTCATTCAGCTTGTCCGCATGGCGCCGACGCCACGATCTGTCGAGACAGAGCTCGACTCAGTAGCAGCCTCCGGCAAGTCGTTAGCCGGAGACGTATCCGGCATGATTGGAGACGAGTTGAGGAATGTTGCTGTGAAGGTCCAAGCCCTGCGAGGGGCTTCAGTCAGGGCCGCTGATCTGATTATTCAACAACTCAACTCGGATACACCCGCTGGGCACTCTCTCTCTTCGGCATCACTCAAGTCAACGACGTGGTTGGTTGGAGAATATGCCAACCAGCTCGCTTTCCCTGAAGATACTTTAGGAAACATTCTGCGGATTATCCCCCGAACACACATTCCAGACATTCTTACGACGAGCCTGCAGGCCATGACAAAGATCTTTGCGTACGTCGCCGGCAACGATGGGCAGCCTTGGACACCGGAGTGGAAGACCAAAATTACCCTGCTTATGGCGCGGGTGATTCACACGTTAGAGCCGCTGGCTCTCCACCCAAATCTAGAGGTTCAGGAGAGGTCGGTGGAGTTCATCGAGCTCCTGAAGCTCACTGCCGAGGCTGCGTCAGGGCAAGCGCCATCATCTGAGGACACTCATCAAGATGCTCCCCTTCTCCTCACACAAGCCATTCCATCTTTGTTCCAGGGGTGGGAACTTAACTCTGTTGCCGTTGGCGCCCAGAAGAACGTGCCAATACCCGACGGTCTCGACTTGGATGAACCCATCCACCCCAACCTGAGTTATCTTCTTTCCCAAGCGGACATCATACCTATAGAGGCGAGTGAAGCGGACGACTTCGAGGTTTACTACCACCAGCGTCCTGCTCCAACCAGTATATCTTCCGCGGAACCCGCTATCAACAAGATTGCAGACGTGCCAGAAGAAGTCGTCAGCTCGTATCAACAAGCGACTGAGGACAGCTATCTGGACGCAGACATTGTTGCAAGGCGGAAGGCCGAGCGAGCAGAACGCAACCGTGACGATCCATTCTACATTGGCGGAGCAGACAGCAACCCCAGATCGTCAACACCCATTCACAGCATCTTGCAAAAGGAGAATGGCCCGGATCTTGACATAGACTCCATACCGATAATGCAGTTGGACCTAGACAAGCTAGGCTCATCTGCTCCAGGTCTAACATCACCCATCAGCCGGCCCCAGCCGCGACCGAGGCAGCGCGTTGTCATCGCCGCGGACGAGACGCTGGTAGGGAGCGGCGTCTCCACCCCGCGCAACTACGAGTCCGAGAACAATTCCGACAGCTTCACCAAGTCGCGTGCCAAGAAGCTACGACAGGGTCTGTTGCAAGTCGACTCGTCGACCCTGGGTAGCCTCAGCCTCGAAGAGAGTGGCGGCTCGGGTGGCATGGGTTCCTCCAACGCGCCGTTCGATTACGAACAACAGCAGCGCGAAGAGGCCGAGATGGCGCAGGCGATGAAGGAGGTCGAGAGGCTGCGTCTCGAGATGCAGCGCGCCAACGAGCGGATCCAGGTCGCGCAGGGCGTCGATGCCGCCGGGGTGGTTGTCAAGAAGAAGACGAAGAAGGCCAAGAAGGACGCCGACGGCACGACGGTGGTGAAGAAAAAGAAGAAGAAGGCTCCGGCCGTCGTGCTAACGGACGACGCCGAGAACGGGGCCGGTGAGGAGCCCGCTCCCATCCCGGCCGCCCCGACATTGACGGCTCTCGAAGGTGGAGACGACGCTGGGCCGGCGGTCGTGGTGCCCAAGAAGAAGAAGAAAAAGAAGACGACCAAGATGGCTGAGATCGCGGGGGACACGCCTAGCCCGAGTTGATGTAGTGGTGGTGGTGGCTTGCAATCATGACGACGAATGGCGCAGGAAAGGTAGCATATAGATAAAACAAAATGCGAAGACGCGGTGCATCCATTCATTCCTATTTCTCAGATCATTTTTGAGTCCATACGAATCCATTCAGGTTCTTAAAGTTGTTGCGAGGAGAACAAGAAGGTTCGTTGGTATCAATCACCGTCAGCACGATACGATGAAGCTACTGGACTAAGCATAGACCGAGGTGCTTGTAGTGCTTTTCCCCCTGGCGTTCTGTGAAAACCCCAGCTAGATGGGCTCGAAAACTTCCTCAACATCAATTACCATCAGCAGGCTTAAACGGCAGGGTCTTTGAAATGTTCTTTTTGGGGAATCTGTCTCTCTCTCTCTCTCTCTCTCTCTCCCTTCTTCATCTCATCTCCAACTCCAACGCCATCTCTCGTCCCCTGCCCTCCTCTCTCCCGATCTCTCTCGTGGTTTACGTACAGACATGATACAAAGGGGACAATGAGGAATCGCTTCCCGACGTCACACCGTCGTTAAGTCACCGCCAGCCAGCCAGTAAAATGTTTCTTCTTTTTGTGTTTCCTGTACCAGCCGCCGCCGCCGTTGTCGCCCGCGTAAGAAAAACCCTCTTCCGGCGTCACACATGACAAAAAATTGGGTTGGTTTTTGTGAAGAAAATAGACATTAAGAAAGGAAGAAAAAGGAAAACCATCAGCTTTACCGAGAAAATATCAGTCGTCGAAGAACCGAACGATCGCTTCCTAGTCATCCATGGGCTTGTCCTCGAGTGTCACTCCGCGAGGAGTCGAAGGAGCGCTGTCGTTGCCGCTCGATGCTACGGGCACCCGGCGCTCGAGAGAGTATCGCGCGGTA